ATTGGTTTCTTGTTACCAGAATTGACTGACATGCTTTTGTGTCATTTTGTTCACTAGCCTTAATTATGAAAGTACATTGCCTTCTTTTTATTTTCATTTTATTATATCTCCAGTCAATGTGAGGATTACGATCGTAAAGCCATGGTTTACCGAGAATCATGTCATACTTCTGCAAGGGTATGACTTCCATAGTCTTTCTTTTTTCCTTATACCCTTGAAATTCAACAGCAACATCTGTCATGTTTCCTCGTGACTTGCACAGTGATCCATCTGCTAATTCCACTGTTGTAGTATCAACTTCTTTCTCATCCATTTCTAATTGTGATTTTTCTACAAAATTTAGGTTTATAAAATCCTTGAATACTCCAGAATCGATCAAAATAAGGGCTTTTTTCCCTTGTATCTCCCCCTCCACCTTTAAAAGACTTTCTCTATTCGGCCTTTCATGTTCTTCATTTTTCTCTACATTTGTTGTTTCAGCTACTTTTGGCTCAGCATTTTCAATCTTATTGATTTCATTATATGTTTGGGCTTTACTTTGGCATTCTTTTGCCACATGACCTTTCTTCCCACAAATAAAACATAATCTCTGTTTTTTGTATTCATTTTTTTGTTCATCCTACACTGTCTTACTTCCTTTATTTTTTTCCTTAATAGGTCTAAATTTTACGAGATTTTCTGACTCCACTCTATCTAATTCCATTAGGGTAGGAGCTTGACCTTTGCTTTGTGATGAGTAACTGCCGCCAGGTTTACTATATTTCCAATTATTTTGCACCAACGTCCTTGAATCTTTTCCAGGATACTACTTATTAACATTCTTTATTACACCATACATTGCAGAGTCATAACTGATGGCTAACTTTACAGCGTCATCCAAATTTTCAGGTGCACGGTAATTTACTTCTGCTTTTGTCGCTCTCTTTAACCCTTTCATTAAATACATGACCTTATTGGCTTCATGCATTTCATCTATCTGTCCAAGTATGTTCTGAAATCTTGAAGCATATTCTTGAACAGTCATGGTTTGCTTCAAGTCTCTCAATTGTCGTCACAACATTTGTTGATGATGAGGCAGTTGAAATGTATCTTTGATTCTAGCAGCAAAAGATTCCCAACTTGCAAATAGTTGGTGACTTTCATCGGCTTGTACCTGGTTTAGGTACCATTGCAATGCTGCATCTTGGAGTCCTATGATCACATACTGTAACTATTCATCATCAACAACTTTTCTTGCCTTGAAAAGGAGATTGACTTGGAGCAACCATGTAAGAACGTTTTCACCGTCTTTGTCACTAAAAACCAGAAGTTGAACAGTCAACCTTCTTGACGGTATAGCATTTTGGTCTCCAGTACTGGTTGTTGTTCCCATGGATAACATTTGTAGATGGGTATTTGTTTGTTGCATTGAAGAAGCAAGATACTGATTTATTTGGTCTTGGTTGGATAGGAATTGTTGAAAAGTTGAAAGAAATTGGACATTTCTGGTGCGCCTTGATCTTCCATTATTGTTACTAGTAAGGTAGGTTTCTGGTTTTTTGCATTTTTTATGTGTTTATCTCTCTCCTTTTTCTCTTTTTTTTTTTTTTTTTTATATATATAAATAGTTATCCGCTGCTATCAACTGTAACGGGATCAGAATATTAAGACTGATTTTATTACAACTTAAAAGGAAGTCTGCCGTTTATAAGCAAAAGGTGAAGTATTTTCTTTATTACTTGGTTATTTTTCTTCTTTGCTAACGTTTTTACTAACTAACTTTCTTCCCTATTTATAGTTAAAACTAATTCGACCTTTTTCCTTACACAATTATTGCTTATACGAATTTACCCTATGACTACATTTATTATGCACT